TAGATAGATAGATAGATAGATAGATAGATAGATAGATAGATAGATAGATAGATACTGTAGATTCATTCATTCATTCATTCAATTTATATAGCCACCCATTTCAGACTAGTGATTCTGGGTGGCTAACAACAATAAAAACAGTCAACATTTAAAATGGTACCAAAAAATTAAATATAAATATAAATGCAGCCAAGAGATCTTAAAAAAACGTCAGTATCAGCACAACACACTCAGGGCCCCAGGCCTAGGCTTGAAGCCAGGTCTTCAAGGCCTTCTGAAAAGCCAGAAGGGTCAAGGCCATCCTTATCTCAGGAGGGAGGATGTTCCAGAGGGCAGGTGCCACAGCAGAAAAGGCACGTCTTTCCTTGGCTGATGGGACCCGGAGCATGCCCATCCTACCAGGCCGGATTGGACAGGAAAAGACGGTCCCTAAGGTAACCCTGTCCCAAGCTATGAAGGGCTTTATAGGTGACAACTTGATCTGAACAACTTGAACAATTAGTACTTGGGGGCAGATCAAGTGCGAGTTAGTCATGCTTAGAGATCAGTATGATAAGCTGCTGTGAATCCTTGTTTAAGTAGAAAAGAGAGGCTGTGTCTGCAAATAAATATGCTTATTTCATTCATACTTTACATTCTTAACTATCGTGTGAAGGGGTCCTCAACCAAATTCACAATATAGTTAAAATATTTAGTGATATCCAGTTACCATTACTTAAAGTCAAAAGAATAAATTTATTCAGACTCAAAGCTGATTGATATCAGCACTAAAAGGCAAACCGGCAGCTCCAGTATATTGTTTCAATGCTTTCAGTGCCCTATTCTCTTTTCTATGGGTGTCAATACCTTGGAAATTGTGCGACATTTCTCTAGGAGAGGGGGAAAAGATGGAGTTGCCTAGGCCTTAAGATGTAGGAAAACTTCATCTGAACTCAGAAAACTCCATCAGCAACAGTGGCTTGTGAATTGCAATCTAGAAATCTGTTGGTTAGTTATTTTTGTTCAAAACTTGCAAAGGAAAAAAAAAAAAACCACAACACTCCATTGCTCATTGTTTACAAACAGTGTTTTGTTCTGCAAAATGTAAGTATAGCAATAGCGCTCAGTTATTATACCAATTTGAGGCCTTCTCTGCTAGCACTGAGGTTTGGGGAAAAGCTCCATTCATGTCAGTGGTTTTGTGTGTCTGGCCTTAGTACTATTGCTTTTTTCTTGTAATCTTTCCATTAATTTAAATGCCTGTTGCCAAAACTGTGTTGTAATTTAGGTTTATTTCCCCTTGCAGCCCAATCCCCAAAGCGCTCCACCGGCACAAGCCACACTGAGGACCACAGCCTTAAGCAAGGAACTTGCCTGCATCAAACTAACCTGTGGGCAAGCTTCCCGACAGCAGAGAGTAAATGAGAACAACTTTTACTTTGAGGTATGACAGAGTGACTCTTGACACATTTCTCACCCATTCAATCAGATCCCAAGAAGAATATCAAAACTACCAGCTGGTGTCTTAGGCATTTTTACGGAATAAGTATGGCTACCTAAAAACAAGATTCTTCAGTGAAAGATGTGCATTTCCTTTATTTAAAAAAAAAAATCAGAATGTTATGGGGTATGTTTTACATACTGTAGTTCGGGGAAAGTTTGAAGTGAGGCATTTTTAATGCATTCCAAGAGGCTCAGGTAACAAAACTGGATGCAAATTTCCAGGGTCACTTGCCTCTAACCACTATCTTTTTCCATAAGTCCAACATAATCTTCTCTACAAGCTAACACGACTAAGGACTGGCTGATACCTATATGGGTGACCTCTTACAAATGTAGCATATCAAAAGTAGCCCTCTGATTTATGAATATTCTTTCTTTAACTGCCAAAGTGCTAAATGTTGAGATTAATGTTGATATATTTCCCTTGTGGTTATTCTTTTAACAGTAAGGTTTAAAACAAGCAAGTATATTTATGATGCTCAACTCTTTAACATTCACTGTTGCATTCAATTAGCTCTAAGGGCATAGCCAAAACCTACCAGAAGAGACATTGTTTTTTCCTAAATCCATAATCATCAAATCACTTCAGATGGTGCAGTTTCTGCTTAAGTGAATGCAAAACACATAAGCATGAACTTTTGCAGACAAGGTTGTACATCTTTGGATTTCTAGTTTTTAATTTTCCCCCTTGTGTTCAGTCAAAATACAAACTGTCATGACTTCATGACAAGTGAATGATATTTCATACTATGTATGTAACATTAGTATGTTGCAGAACTTCCTATCCCATGACTATATCAAATACCACTCATCAGTTATTCTCTCCATTTAGCACTCATAAGTTGCTCCAGACACACATGAAATCCCATTGATCAAAGTTTTATCACTTGTAAAAAGAAGAAAACAAATCTCAGTGTTTCATAGGTCACTCAGAATCATTTAGCCCAGGTCCCAACTCTGTCCAGAAAGTTCAACCTGGTAAACATTGTTCCATAAACAAACAACGTACTCGTGCTTCTTAAAAGCTTTTTTATGTGTTTATCATGATAGGTCCAAAAATTCTCAAAAGCTAGCTGTCTGATTTCCACTTTTTTTTTCATTGTATTTCTAAATTTTCATTGACTGCAGTTTTTTAAAAGAAAAAAATGGACTCAGTCACACTGTATTGAATCGAGGCAATAGCAACCTTTGGTTTGTAGAATGTATGGAAACGTTTGCAACCCTCTTGGAATAAAATCCAAAATGTGAAACATTACCGTAAGAGGGTAACTTTCTAATGTATTTGTATGTGCAGTTTACACCTCTGTGAGGTTGAATAAATAATAATGGTTAATAAATATCTCTGTGCTCAGCATCTTCTGTTCCAAATAATTTTTGATTTCTTTACTCATCACCTGGTTGCTTTAAAACACACTTGGGGAACTTCTGGCATCCCATCAGCCCAAGCCAAGAGTACCATTTTGCTGCAAACCAGCCTTCCATAACCTGGTATTCTCCAGATGTGTTGGGCAACAATTCTTAGAAATCCTGACACCATGGGTGATGGAAGGGCACAAGACAGGGGAAAAGCGACCTCACTTCTATCTCATATGAAATACTTCCTTTGACTTGTTGGTGTGGTGAAGGGCAGCACCTGGAACATGCCATATCTATGATTGTTGAATAAGATGCTTCCAGGAACATAGTTCCTATCTCTTCTAATCAAAAGCTGCAGATACAACATAATAATTTATGCCAACTCTTTGATGACAGGAATGGAAATAAGCTCTAAAGTAGCAGAGGATTCTTCTTAAACATGATTGTTCCAATGATTCTACATTCATCTGCTTAATTTTACCATTTCTGCAAGCAATATCTAATGGCATACAGCTGTTATTATGTCAGGACAATTTCATCTTCCACTAAGTCTGAATTTAGTCTACCTTGTGGATCGAAGTTTAGAAAAAGAGTGCTATGCAGTTGAAACAGTGCTTAGCAGTGACTTGGAATTAATGTGAACCAGGGCTAATCTGAGACCAATTTCTCCTAAGGGTCAGAACCCATATTTGGAACATTACTCTTTCTAATAGCAAATTCAGATACTTGAATGCCAACAGGATTTAAGCCAAAACATAACCCTTCAGAAGTATCCTCATGCTTCAGGAAACCCCAAGGTTTGCAGAAATACAACAAATCTTTGGGGGGGGGGGAGCCTAAAATGATAAAAATAAAATATATTCCCACTGTATAAGATCATATCTATCAAATCATAAATCATATATCATATCTAGTAATGGTGAATTCCAGGTCATACAAACTGACTTTTCATTAAGTGTCAGCACTTTTCTGAAATATGCACATACATTTTTTTTAACCAAAGACAATGGGAACATTCCTTTGCCTGGCATCAGCTGGTAAAGTAGGATAATAGAATGAATTCCAATGGCTATATTTTGATATATATCTGAGAAATGAATTTTTATTGTATCTTTGTCACTGAATCTAGCTTTTCACTGACTTCTGAGCCAGTATTAGATTTGCTTCTGAGTTGTCTGCCTGCTATTTCTTCAAAACTAACTAAGTCGGTTGAATAACTGAAGTGGGGAAAGCTTCAAGAGACTACCATCAAAGTTATTTAAAATGATATTGAAAGGGTGAGCACTATTTCTGGTGGTTTTTAGTTCTGACATGGATAGAAGAAAAAAACACACTGGGATCTAGCTTTTATTGCCTTCATTTATAAGAAAAGGATAAAAAACTGAACCAGTTCGATTATTGTCCAATAAGCTTAATAAGTGTATAATTAGCAGGCTTGGTGCAATGCACTTCTGCAGAGAATTTATAGAATGGACTGAGCAGGAAAAAACATTTTGGGAGAGGAACAGACAGGGATTAGGCCAGGATGAGCAACCATGATTATTGCTTCCTCTTATATCACATGGTACAGAATCTCCTTTATGCTAGATAAAGGGAAACCCACAGAACTAGAGCAAGATAAAAAAAAAAAAAATGCTGGGAATCCTACAAATGACTGAGTAGCTGTGATGAACTGCATCATGCCAAAGACATTTGGAAAATCCTCTCAAATTTGTATGACAAAACATCTAGTTTCGAAAGGGCATCTTTTCAGAAAGCTACAATGCAAGTATCTAAAGGAAAGAAGGGGTCTGAATTTGTATATAAGTGAAGTGAGAGAAATGGAAAGGCAAACTGAAGGTCAAAACACGTTTATGTAACTGGAAATGTTGAGTGCCTTGATTCTAACGTTTTGCTTAAAAATTACAAAGTTGTGGTATATGCAATAGAAATGAAAGAAGAAGCAGATTCTAATTTTGTAATAGACCACTCACGAGACTTTGATCTCCATAAGTTTTAGGGAGAAGTTGCAACTTTTGGTCAAAGGTCAATTTTATAACAACAGGAAAAAAGAAAGGAAATGGTTCCTTTGCAATGGCTCTGGTTATTTGCAAATTAGTTTTGCTAAGAAAGGCAGCAAAGAAAGACCTGCTAGACAAGCATTCCAAAGATAATGCTCCCACTTGATCCAGTGTAAGAACGCAATGAAACAATGAAAGTTCATGGGCCACTAGATGGCATGTATTTTGATTCTAGAGCTACCATCAACTTTTTTTATGATAATTAATTTAAGTCTACTATTTATTTGGAAAATGGAAAAAAGTTTATCTCAGACAGGAGAGACTCTGTAAGCATTAGGTAAAAGAAGCTTGCTCAATTTAACAATTAAAAATGCCTCATATGTACCAGACCTGGAGCTAAGTCTGCATTCAGTAAGTATGTCACACAGAAATGATATGAAGTAAAATGTAAAGGCAACCTTGGTGTTATCCAACTGAAAATGGAGAATTGCATATGAAAAGCACCATCCAGTAAAATGTACTACTTGAATTAAACCAGGGAATAATAAAATCAGAGTAGTAAAGAACTGCAACTATAAAAATTGCTTAAATTTATGGTATAGAAGAATGGGATGGTAGAGATTCAGGTGTTGTTTGTAAATTAGAGGTATTAGCCAAAGAACTAAAATTGCAGCCATATGTAAACCATCCAGATGTGCATGTTTATTCAAGACAAATGGTACCATATCAATAAATATGGAAAGAAAATAAAAAGAAAGCAGCCATTGCAGCTACTATAATTATATTTATGAGCAAAAGCATGTTATTATACCAAATGGGAACAAATATCTACTGAGATTTTTCCAGATTCACAACGTACTACTTTCTCAATAAAAAGAGTCAAATACTGGAGAAATTTAAAGAATATGTAGCTTTAGTAAGCAATACAGGACTGTGCAAAAGTTTTAGGCAGGTATGAAAAAATACTGTAAAGTTCATCCAATTGACCAGAACCAGCAGAAATAGGATTTTT